CACTGCTGTCTCAGCCAATGAGGGAGGGAGAGTCCCTGCTCTTGTGCACATTGCTGGACTGTGATGGGGCTGCTGCACACAGAAGGTTTTTTACCTTCATGCATAGAATGCATGAAGGTAAAAAAAAAAACCTTGAGCCTTTACAACCACTTTAAAATTACAATATGGTTTGTGTAGCAACTGTATATGCTATATTGTTTTATTTGCCATTTTCTTCCTACGAAAGTGGAGTTATCCTTTAATCCAATTGGAATTGGTTCCAGGTAGGGGTGTACCGAAATTGCAGTGGCCAAAACGTTTCGGCCATAAACACCCCTATCGACCGATATGAGAAAAAAAAAAAAAAAGCACCGATACAGGTACCGAAAAACCCCGCCCCTTCTCGGTACTTCTCAGCCTTATCTGAGAAACCATCGACCGATACTGGTGCTAGGCATAGAGATTAGTGAAGGAAAGATGGCCTTCACTCATCTCTATGCCCTTGGAGGACCGGAGCGATGTCACTTCCGGTTATTTAAAATTTTTTTTTTTTTTTTTAAGCACTAGATCAATGCTCTTTTTGATCTAATGATTTATATTGCAGAGAAGAGATGTGGGGTCTTATTGACCCCATATCTCTCCATAAAGAGGACCTGTCACTAATTACTTCTATCACAAGGGATGTATGCATTCCTTGTGATAGGAATAAAAGTGATTTTTTTTTTTTTTTTTTAAAGGGACAGTGCAAAAAAAAAAAAAATTTTAAAGAAAAAAAAAAGTTTAACGTGCCCCCGTTCTCGCGTGTAGTGGTGACCGCATATGTAGGCCACGCCCACATATGTAACTGATGTTCAAACCATATACATGAGGTATCACCACGAACGTCGGAGCAAGAGCAATAATTCTAGCACTAGACTCCTCTGTAACTTTACACTGGTAACCTGTAGAAATTTTTAAAGAGTCCCTCATGGAGAAGTACCGTAGTGAGACACCATTCCATGATTGTGCGCAATTTTAAAGCGTGACATGTTGAATGTGTCTATTTACTCATCTTAATATCTTTCATATTTTATAAAAAAAAATGGTGTTTATATTGTGGGGTTTTTCTAATCATTAAAGTGTATTTTTTTCCAAAAAAAATATATATAAATTTTTTTTAAAAACCGACCATTTCGGTTTTCGGCCAAGTGCATCCTGAATTTTCGGTTTCAGTTTCGGCACCAGAATTTTCATTTCGGTGCACCACTAGTGAAAAGGGTGGGCATAGTTGGCACTTTTGAGTGCTTACAACAGGTCCAGTGCTCATGTTACTTGTTCCAGGAGAGGGACAGGAAATTCCCGTCTTGCTGTCGGAACACAGAGCTGTATATTACATGTAGCTGAGGCTACATACAAGTTTATACAACACACATAGTCACTGCATCTATTAGTAAATAGCACGTTTGGACCAACAAACTATTTAAACTTCACTGAAACATGGAAATCAGCTTTGAGGTGACCATACTCTGGTAGATTTTAAAAAGTGAAAAATCTCACCAGTACAGTCAGTAATGTCAAAATCTGACAAATGTGTTTCGAAACTACTTCAAAATTTTGATTGCTTTCAACATTCAGTTTCGGCATGAATGGCTGCATACATTTGTACAAGATACATTTTCAAACCGGCTTCTTCCAATTTTCTCACCACTACGGTCGGAATTGAATGTCAACTTACAATTGAAAAATCAATCAAATGTTCTGAAAATGAGAATTTTTGAATATGCTCCTTAAACTTGTACCTACAGGTAAGCCTATAATAAGGTAGGTACAGTAAATATCTGCTAAACTTGCACCGTTTAGGAGATATTTACAAAGCATGCAGCCGGTGATGTCACCGAATCATGCGCTCTGAAGGGACGGTATGCTGTACTGTCCCTTCAGAGCTCCATGCCGCAGCTTAGGGCTCTCGCACGCATGTGGGGAAGTGACGTCACTGTGGCTCTGGCAACTCATACTGCCAGAAGGAAGGCCGGGTGAAGATGGCGGCGCTGGGGAACAATGACAGCGCAGCACAGGAGGACTCCATGCACAGGCAAGCCTGTCATAATGTACTAATATGCGGTGCAGTTTACTACCGCTTTAAAGCTACATACCTTCAGAAAAAAATGCAATGCGGTTTAGGAAATTCATGGGGGTACCATTAAGGTGAAATTAAAGCCACTTTTGTATCTTTTACCTACAGGTAAGCTTACAATAAAGCTTACCTGTAGGTAAAATGAACATCTCCTAACCCTGCACAGTTTAGGAGATATTTGCTTTGTTTGTCCCTGGCGCATGTGCTCTGAAGGAACGGCATATCTGTGCAGCTCCTTCAGATCACTGTGCTGTGTCCCGAGAGTGACGTCAGTGCAGCTTGGCCAGTCAGGCAGCCAGGACTCACGAACCCAGAAGGAAGACCAGGTGAAGACGGAATCCTCTGCAGTGGGGACACTGCACCGCTGGAGGGCTTCATTTTAAGGTAAGTCCTGAATAATGTGCTAGTATGCATTGCATTACCTTTCAGAGGATTGTTTTTTTTCTTCTCAAGCTGCAGTTTACTACCGCTTTAATCGTAATGGCACCCCCATGTGTTGGGAACAGCACTGAACTATGTGGATCCTCTGCAGCCATGTTTTCTGAAAAGGTGCAGAGAACGTTTCCCTGCATTTTCAGTGGGTACAACAGTCCATCCAAACAAATGGGCTTCTGTGCCTAAGCAAATGCAGCCATGGGGAAACCGCAGAGGTGTGGACCAATCCTTATGCTTGCCAACAGTGTCCATAAGAACCCATTTTTAAATACACAAAATATAGCAAGGCACACCTAAAACAAACTGCTCATGAAGCACAACAATGATTTATATACAAGAATAAAAAGTGGAATCACTTTCCTGTGACCTGCATTCACAGGTAGGCCATACATACAAATTTCAATGCATGTACGGCCTAAAAGAGAAGTGCGGTATATGAAAAAAAAACAAACACACCTATTACCCTGGCAGGAAGCAGCCACAGACTGATGCTGCATCTGTCCCACACCACCTCTAAGACCAAGAACTGAACAATCAAAGACCGCTGATAGATCAGTTCCCAGTCATTTGTGAGCAGAGTGGTGACCGTCAGTCAGTCACCAGCTCTCTACTCTGCTCCTCTAGAACTCACTGGAGCGCCAGGCTATGGAGGAGGGAGTGTGTGGCTGGCTCAGGCTCTCAGTGGAGCACTGAAAGAGCCAGCTGCCAGTCAGGCATCTAGGTGGATCTCGACATTACAGTCAGGATCTTTCCGGCTCAGTGATATCACACAAACTTTGTCCCTACTCCTCCTTAAAAGAATAAGTTCACCTTTGGGAAAATGTTGCATGCTCCATATGTTTTTTGGGTGGAACATGTAACATGTTGCCAATGCTGCCCCCCCCCCCCGGTGACAAAAGTACAGAAAGAAGTTCCACGTACTAACGGTCACTTTTTAAAAACAGCCTGGTCGAGCGGGGCTGCACCCTCAGGGCCGCATCATTCATTCATAGTGTTCTGAGAATGAATGGACTACAAGTCCAAACAACCGTAGTAACTGTTGACTTGTAGTTTTCAATAAACTACCACGGCACCATGGTAGCTCATTGAATCTTCCTGTCTGCAAAATATCTGCTTGCCCATATATCCCGTACGACAAACAGATAAACTGACAGGTCTGCAGAAGACCTGCATGGCACCAGTGATCTGCTGATGCCATGCTTTACAGCCTCCTGCAACCAAAAATAAATGCACATTTACCAGCAAAAAAAAAAAATGCGCATTTATTTTTGGTCAAAAGGTGAACTTATCCTTTAAGGCCGAATTAACATCAGAGGGCTGTGGTTTGGCTGCAGTGCAATGTATGTGTGTTTTACATGCAGTTTAAGGTGCGCTTCCATTGACTTCTAACAGACCAGACATTTTCTGAAAGTGCAAAGATGGATTTTGATGCACTTGCCTGAAACCGTCCAGTCTAAGACCTCATGTACACAAGCCTACCCACACCGCCGGTCGTGGAAAAACGCAAATCGCTACAAAAACAGGGTACTGCAGTTGCCGCGTTTTACGATTTCCCGTGGTCAACACATTCCTATCCTGAACGCGTTCAGGAGAGAGGGAGGTCTAACCTCACCCAAGCATGGCAGCTCCTAACATCCGGTAAAGGCCTATGTATACATGAACACACAGGCTTTTATGGAGTTGAGTTTAGAAGCTTTGGCAAAAAAATACCAAAAGCTCCTAAAGGCAAGTTTAGGAGCTGCTCGTGTACATGAAGCCCAAGAAAATTTAACAAGAATGCACCAAAACTTGCCTAAGCGGTAGCACACCGGCATAAATCTGGCCTAAAACCGGAGCAGCTGTGCATGGCAACCAATCAGCTTCTAGTTTTCATTTTCAAAGCTTAACTCAGCAATTTGAAGCTAGAAGTGGATTGGTTGGCGTGCACAGCGGCGATACATCCGACTTCTCCAAGTTTCAAAGTGCCCAGGGAGGGATGGAGAGGATCTGGAGAGGTAAGTGATCAGATGATGGTTTTATTGTTTTGTTTTCAGCACGTGTTACCTAAGTGATCACTGTATGTAGCCGGATGGCATTCTGTACACAGACAAGCAATGTGTGTACATACAATGGGTGACCTTTCAGAAAGATCCGGCCATAGTATGACAATAGAACCCCCCCACACACACAGCCTCCTATGGAGAGCTATCACTCTCGCACGCCGCCCGTACAGACAATCCCGTATCCCCCCTCCAGCCACACAGAGGTCCCGTCTAGAACAATACATGCGGTCCCAGGTCACACAGTGCGCGCCTCCCGCTCTGGGCCCCCAGTACAGGGGTGCCGGGAGCACCCAGCACAGGGTACGCTCACAGACACAAACAGAGGGCCACCCCACATACAGTCTATGCATAGTACAAACCGGCTCCCGCCATTTTATCTCTTACTTCTCCCCCAGAAAACCACCAACCCCTCCCACAGCACGTTCCCTTACCCCCCGGCCAACCCGGGCTCAGTATCCCGCCGTTCCGCCATGTCGGCCCCGGACCCGTCCAACTGCAACACTCCGCAGGGGGGGTGAGAGAGGGGTGGGTCAAGACACGACCAAAATCCCACAGAGGGGGCTTTGTAGAACATACCAACACATTTGGTAGTACAGCGCACGGAAAAGAGAGTTACAGTTACCCGTCTACGGTGATGAGCTTAACAACGCAGAACACCTAGCGACACTTCCATGGGTAAGGCACTACTGAGAAAACATCGTTTACAACTGCGGGGGAAAACTCCCCATTCCATTGTGTGAATTAGTTCAATCCGTGGAGCGGGAGAAACACGCAAGCGCAGCACAGCAGGGCGGGAAATGTGCAAACACGCAGGCGTGGGGAGGAGGGTTCTGCGCGTGCGCAGTACTGGAAAAAATGGTCTAGCAGCAATGCACTCTTAAAGAGGTAGCAGCACATGACTGCTGCTTCCATTTTGTTTCTTATCTCAAGGCAGGTTTTTGGTCATTCAAAAGAGAGGCTCTTGGAAAACGAATATAAAGCCTGAAAGGAGAAAAATGACATTTGATGTGCAAATGAAAACTCATTGCATCAAATTGAAGACTACTGGATTCAATTCAGAATGTAAAAGAGCTTCTAAAGTGTAATCTGCTTTATCAGTAGAACAGTGAAATGAAACAAAGGTGTGCAAAGTGCACTGATGGGTCAGGAATAATCTTTCACACATACTATGGTAAAATGAAATTAAACATTTTGAAATGTAAACATTTATGGTGAGATATTTGCATATCATAGTTATTCTTGGTATCGTATTGCTGAGTACACCCATATGCCTTGTTATGTTTATACAATACATCAGCGAAATGTGCAGAATCACGCTTGCCATGTTGGCGCAATGGTAAATATTTTAAAATGGAAAAAAAATTATAACAAAAACCCATCACTACCCCCCATGGCTAACAAGATGATCTTGCAAGTTTAAGGTACATACATAACTATAAGTCAATGGAGCTATTATTATTTTTATTATTATTATACAGGACTTATATAGCGCCAACAGTTTCCTCAACACTTTACAATATAACGGGAAACAATACAGTTCACTACAAGAGGGTTAAGAGGGCCCTGCTCCTTGGAGCTTACAATCTAGGAGCTAGGGGCTAGTGGTACAAAAGGTAGTAACGGTGGGGGGATGGACTGGTAGGAGGAGTAGAAGATTCCATTATTAGCTGAGGGCAGGATAGGCTTCCCTAAAGAGATAGGTTTTCAGAGATCGCCTAAAAGTGAGCTATATCAGTTTCACTTTCTCCACTGTGCTGGAAATAGACAATTCCTGGAATTCATAGTTTCGTAGACACTGGTTCTGTTGTGCCCCTCCCAGACACACCACCCTCAAGGTAGATTCTGCTCCATATCCACAGATTCTAAAATCTAAAAATTAATAAGAACCTGGATCACGTGTCAGAAAGCTTTACAAAATTGCCACAAAGCTTTACCAAATTTGGCACAGGCCTTTTTAAAAGGGCCACAACATCAAGTAAGTGTTGTAATTGTTTTAATGAATCCCCCCCAATATAATCTTAAACACCTCTGTCACTTCCAGGAGTGTCAGAGTCACTACATTCCAGATGATCCAGATAGTTGCTTCCCTTTACTGGCCCTTACATTAGCCAAGGAACTTATAGAGGTTTATTTACTAAAGCTGGAGAATGCAAAATCAGGCTCACTTCTGCATAGAAACCAATTAGCTTCCAGGTTTCATAGCCAAAACTTAATTGAACAAGCTGAGGTTAGAAGCTGATTTGTTTCTTTGCAGAAGTGAGCCTGATTTGCTCTCTCCAGCTTTAGTAAATATACCCCATAGTGTCCAGGAAAGACTTGTGTGATCTGCAGTACATTCTTTGCACCTTCAGGGTTCCCGGGTCACTGTCAAGACCTTAGCTGACAGTAGGACCACAAAATTAGCTGGGGATCTGGAATGCTAAGCCTCCAACACTTCTGAAGTCTACCTGCTACATTGTGAGAGGGTGACTTTGATATATAGGTATCTTAAATGGAAATAAACCCTCCTATCCTTTACAGCCAAGGAACTTGTCTTGGATCTAAATGTTTTGGGAAACAGTAAAATCAATGGGTTTAGTTCTGTTTTAATATAGTATGTTTTTCAGGTTAGGAATGAGGTAGTGACAAGGTCTATTTAAAGTAGAACTATAGGCAAAATTTGTTTTCATGTTGGATAGAGTAAGGGAGAACTATAACCCCATCATATATTTTTTTCTATCTCATTGTCCCATTGGAGAGATTTCCCTTCACTTTCTGTCCCATAGCCAAGCAGGAAGTGAGAGGAAATCCCTGCAAATTAAGGGAATTCCTTGGGAAACCCCATGTCACCATAACTAGTGTCCCGATTGGGATATTTCCACCCTATTACTTTTATGGGGACAACCCAAAATTTGGCATTTTCTTTGACTTTCAATTATAATGGTAAACAGGATAAAAAGAGAGGATGAATCTTCTTCACAATGGCACAGGCAGCAATAAAAAGTGACATGTTTTCTAATCTCTATCAACTCTATCCAAAACAAAAAAAAAGTTTTCCCTTTAGTTATACTTTAAGTGATATTATTTTTATTTATTAATTACTGGTACTTATATAGTGCTGTCAATTTATGCAGCACTTTACATATATATTATACATTTACATCAGTCCCTGCCCTTAAGGATCTCACAATCTAAGGTCCTTAACTCACATTCATACATACACATACTAGGGCCAATATGGACAGGAGCCAATTATATTCTTTAATTAATAATTTGAAGATTTTTTTTCCTTCCAGTTCAAGTTTTATGAGAACTTATGCTGAACACACAGCACAATTTTGAGGCCAAGCAGATGATCGTATCCTATTGACAATGGTTCTGTGAATTAATCTAAATTGTTGGTAGGTTGCGCAGTAATTTTTAGCATTAAAAGAGGTTGAACTGACTGGAATGCACCTGAAGGCTTGACTATTGTCCATTTCTATGCACCACAGCCAAGCTTCAGTACATAGAAAATTTACATCACCGGAACTGGCGTAACAAGAACCGAAAGCGCCGACCAGAACTCTCAACCTGCAGGACATCCAGTTGTCCATTCCAGTGATGAAAGTTCTGATTGTTCTGGTGCCGGTTAAAGGCAAAAATAAATGTGGAGTGGAGAGAAGTGATCCTTTCTTCCCATAAAACAAAGCGTACATTGATCTGTTTATTTATTAAGAAGTCATTAACATCAAGAAGTCATCATCTGGTGAGTGAGCACTTGTGGTTGGATTCAATGGTGGATTACAGTTTGGCACAGTGGTTGAGGAAAGAAAGAAATAAGTGGCTTAACAACAATACTGGGCATTTATTTACCCACTTGCCAACCAGTCACGTACCTGGTGCGTCACTAGTAATCAAGTGGTTGCACCGGGATGATGCCTGCAGCTCTCGATACTGTTTATTTGGTGCATCACTAGTCATCAAGTGGTTGCACCAGGATGATGCCTGCAGCTCCTGGTACCATTTATTTGGTACCATTTATTTAGAGCCAGCGGTCGGCTATCTTGTAATAAAGAGAAAAATTGGGTTATGTATTGTGGGGTTTTTTGTATTAAAATTAAAAAAGTGTATTTTTTCCCAAAAAATTGCATTAGAAAAGCACTGCGTAAATACCGCGTGACATAAGAAATTTCAAAACCCACCAATTTCTTCTCTAGGGTCTCTGCTTTAAAAATTTATAAACTTTGGGGGATTTTCTAGCGAAAAAAAAATGGTTACTATTGTAAGAATATTGTGAAAATGTGCTTGGAGCACAAACATTTTTTCACTTTGAGTTTACGTTATTTTTTTCATTTAATATAGTGCCTTGAAAAAGCATTCATAGCTCTTGAAATTTTCTACATTTTGTCATGTTACAACCAAAAACGTAAATGTATTTATTGGGATTTTATGTGATAGACCAACACAAAGTGGCACATAATTGTGAAATGGAAGGAAAATGATAAATGGTTTTCAACATTTTTTACAAATACATTTCTGAAAAGTGTGGCGTGCATTTGTATTCAGTCCCCTTTACTCTGATACCCCTAACTAAAATCTAGTTGAACCAATTGCCTTCAGAAGTCACCTAATTAGTAAATAGAGTCCACCTGTGTGTAAATTAATTTGAGTATAAATACAGCAGTTCTGTGAAGCCCTCGGAGGTTAGATAAAGAAAATGAGTGAACAAACAGCATCATGAAGGCCAAGGAACACACCAGACAGGTCAGGAATAAAGTTCAGGTGGGAGAATCAGTTCACAGGACAACTATTAGTCGTGCACTCCACAAATATGGCCTTTATGGAAGAGTGGCAAGAAGAAAGCCATTGTTGAAAGAAACCCATAAGAAGTCCGGTTTGCAGTTTGTGAGAAGCCATGTGAGGGACACAGCAAACATGTGGAAGAAGGTGCTCTGGTCAGATGAGACCAAAATTGAACATTTTGGCCTAAAAGCAAAACGCTATGTGTGGCGAAAAACTAACACTGCACATCACCCTGAACACACCATCTTCACTGTGAAACATGGTGATGGCAGAATCATGTTGTGGGGATGCTTTACTTCAGCAGGGATAGGGAAGCTGGTCAGAGTTGATGGGAAGGTGGATGGAGCCAAATACAGGGCAATCTTAGAAGAAAACCTGTTAGAGTCTGCAAATGACTTGAGACTGGGGTGAAGGTTCACCTTGCAGCAGGATAACAACACTAAACATACAGCCAGAGCTACAATGGAATGGTTTAGATCAAAGCATATACATGTGTTAGAATGGCCTAACCAAAGACCAGACCTTAATTCAATTGAGAATCCATGGAAAGACTTGAAAAGTGTTGTTCACAGATACTCTCCATCCAATCTGGCAGAGCTTTAGCTATTTTGCAAAGAAGAATGGGCAAAAATTTCACTTTATAGATGTGCAAAGCTGGTAGAGATATCCCCAAAAAGACTTGCAGCTGTAATTGCAATGAAAGGTGGTTCTCGGGGGGGATG